CATCCCGCCACCTGTTGGCAGCTCACGGCTGCTCAGCTCGGGCTGACTCGAACCGCTGTTGCTCAGAGCTCAAACTTTTGAGCGAGCTCTTAACCAACTGAGCCACTCAGCCGGCCCAATAAAAAATTCTTAATGTAAATAAGTATTGTCTAAAATCATTATGCTATTAGAAAAAAAATATTATCAGTTTTAAAACCATTCATGGAAACTTTTCCCCCATTTTATGAAAATTTTAAACATGCAGAAAATTTTATGAAATAACTTTAAAATTGTGACAAGAACTGGCAATGTATTTTTGCATACTTTCAGTAATATCCACTCTTGATTGATGGATATGATTTTTATGAAGAGGTTAAATAATTCAGAACACTTTTTGCTGAATAAGGCAGGTTATCACATTGGGATAACACAAATGGGGCAGGAAGTTACTTTTCTGACCCTCAGTTTCCTCATTTGAAGGCAGCTTGAAAAGAAGTAGAAAATACATTTTGATCAAGCATACAGCATCTTCAAGACATTACTCTGGAGGACAATCATTTAGTTAGACTTACTTAAAAACTATTTCCATTATTTTATCCACATAAAGCATCTGCCACAGTACTTTATTATATAATAATAATAATATTTAATAATCATAAAAATGTTAGCTATTTCTATTATCATTAGCTATTTATATTAATAGCTATTATTAGCTATTAGTAGTTATATTTCAAAAAAATCTGGCAAAGTTAAAACTTTAGTTAACATGAACTCTTCTCACTTAAAAGACTAATTATATGTGTATATACTATATTTAAAAGTATATTTAAATTTAATAGGCTAATATGTATTTAAATATATGTGTATATTTAAATTGAATATGCCAAGCATAATCATTAAATTGAAACTAGAAAGAAATGTTAGCACTGGCATAATTTCTTAAATACTGTGCAGCTTTTAAGGGGCCTTTAACTTTAACATATATAGTACCTGTGAAATTTACCTTAGTTCCTTTGGTAGGTTGGAAGAATTCAAAGAGACTACATAAATGAGCAACTTAGTGAAAACCAAGGAGTGTTGAAAACTTCTTAATTAAATTATTCCAAAATGCCTCAATTACAGCCTTATTTCTCCCACCCTTCCTTGGAATGCATTATCTACACTTATGCTTTAAATATATATAAATATATACATACACATATGTATATGTGTATGTATATATGTATATATGTATATATTTAAAGTCACAAAAAAGTGTATATCATTTATCTGCCATCTAGGAGCAGGGATGCCTCTAATGTAAGTGAAGAAAGGTTGTGTGGCACAGTGAAAAGAACATAAATTTAGAATCAGACAAACTTGTATTGGAACAAGGATTCCACAATTTACTAGCAGTGTGACCCTTAATAAATTACTTCACTGAACCTCAGTTTCCTTATCTGTATATAAATGGGTAATAATAGCTTCCTTATAGAGTTAAGAAAATTCAAGGAAAACACATAAAATGCCTGGCATTTAACAGGCAATCAATAAATTACAGTTATTATTATTGCCACATTTTCATTTTATTCTGTAGTTGTGGACAAACTGTATTTCCTACTTGTAATAGTTTATAAACCCTAAATATATAAAAGCATTGTATTTCAACTTAAAACTTAAACAGAAGAAAAATCCTCATACATAATCAGAATTTCATACATGAGACTTTCCCAATTAATTTTTAGAATTTATTTTCAAAAACAGAAGTACTAAATTAGCTAAGATTTCCCATTTCAAAAGTCAAAAGCAGAAACTAGTTTTTCTATAATAGTATTTATTGATTCTCCCACTGCCAAATAAAGGTATAAGTATTTTATACCAGCACTTCTAAATGTATATTTTGGAAGTTAGAGAAGTTATTTTTGCCATGAGAATGCTTCCCAAACAAAAAAAAGAAAAAGAAAAAAAGTAATTTTCCCAGTTTAGAAAAGAAAAATGCTTATTTCAAATCACACAAAAGTGGCAGGATAGGCAAAAATAAGTGAATTCCTTTGCCTAGAATCAGGCTCATCTGGCTTTTTCCGTTATTTCTAAGAAAAATAATTAAATAGCTAAGTAACACTTCAAAATCCAAAGCCAATTAATGGCACAAAATTTTATTTCCTCTGTTTATATTATGTTTTACCATGAAAAGCCATGGTCTGAAGCAGTCGATCAGCCACCTCCTGTGGAAATACTCCAGGTTCTTGCAGACACAATGTTCCATCTTGTCTTGCTGAACAGAACTTCTCAAGGTGAGTAGTCAGGAAATTCAAGCAGATATCAAGTAAGGAATAGGGAGATGCCTCCTCCTTGGAGCCCAGGAAAAAAACATAAAGGGAACACAAAAGCCAGCAAGTTAGTTTCCAAAAAGGTAGAGAACAAAACATTAATTTACTCATTCAACAAGTATTTTTATTCACTGTTTACTATGCCAAATACTGTGTTAGGCAATACAACATGTGATCCATGTTCTCAGTAAGTAGAAGAGAAACATTTAAACAAATATTTTCATAAAGTCTATTAAATACTATAATAGAGGACATATTGGATAAACACATAGCAGGGTGCCCTACTAAGTCAACGATGGTCAGGGAAGACCTCAGAGGCACAGCAAATTAATCTACCTAAATTACCACTCATGACCCCTCCCCTGCTCAAAACTTTAGTGGCCTCGAATGGGCCTGAAGACAAAAGACAAAATTCTTAGATTGTTAGACTGATTTCTGAGTCCTTCCAAAATCTAGCCCTAATTTAGTTTCCAACTGGATCTCCCACAAAAATCCCCATTCCAACCTATATTCAAATATAATAAATTTATTTAGGTAAAAAAAATTTGCTATAGGTGTTAAGCATCCTCAAAAAAGAAAAAGGTTACCAGTTATGACAGTCTGAGGAATAAAGAACCAAATAAGCACAAAAATTTAAGTGTAAGCATTTTAATTATAGAAATAAACACTCTAGGGGCTGGCCAAGTGGCTCAGTTGGTTAAGAATTACCTTAAGAGCGCGAGCTCTGAGCAACCAAGCTGCCGGTTCGATTCCCACATGGGCCAGTGACATTGAGCCTGAGCTGAGCTGCCGCTAAGCTGCCAACAGGCAGCAGGATGGCTCAGCTGGTGAGAGCACATGCTCCTAACAAGACTGCCTGTTCCATGGTGGGCTATGCCCGCCCGCAATGAAGATTGAACTCAGCACCTTGAACTGAGCTGCCGCCTGGATGGCTCAGTGGATAGAGCACATGCTCTTAACAACAAGGCTGCTGGTTCGACTCCCACTTGGGATCGTGGCTACATCCACCCGCAACTAAGATGGAACACAGCACCTTGAGCTTAGAGGCCATGAGCTGCTGACGGGTAGCCAGATGGCGACTGGCGCCCTCCACAATTAAGATTGAAGAACAACTTGGCTTGTCTCCTTCCCCAATTCCCCAACACTGTTTCCCTCCCCCAATTCTCCAATTAAAAAAATAAAATAAAAAAATAAACCTTAAAAAAAAAAAAAGACAAAGCATCTTAAACTAAAAAAAAAAAAGAAATAAACACTAAATGTCCCCAACAACAATAATACAATTATAATATAATTATAGTAGCTACCATCTACTAGGTGCTTTCAATATGATTGTGTTGAGTGTTTTACATGAATTGTCCATTATTTCATTTATTCCTCACCCCAATTTTACAAAGTAGTCAAGCATTATCTTCATTTTTGCATAACTGAAAACCAGCTCAGAAAAGTAACACCTTTCTCAGCATTCCACACATAGTAAGTGACAAAGTATGTCTTCAAATTAAAAACTGACTCAGGAGCACAACTGTTAATCACATACTACACAGGACATTTTAATGGCTGATTAATATGTAGCCATTAAAAATTAGTTCGAAGATATATTAATCACATAGAAAAATACTCATAGTACAAGGCAAAGTATAAAAAATATTTATAGAACCTCCTCAACCTGATAAAGGTCATCTATGAAAAACGCAGTTAGTCTTATATTTAATGTTGAAAGTCTGAATATTTCCCCCCTAAAATCAGACAAAGATGTCTGCTCTCACCACTTCTATTTAACATTGTACTAAAGATCCTAGGATTAGGCAAGAAAATAAAATAAAAAGTATCCATATTGGAAAGAAGAGTAAAACTACTGAGTTGTCGGAAAAGTCATGACGCTTTTTTGCAATGAAAAACATAGAAAAAATATGTCATGACTTTTCCAACAAACCAATATATCTGTTTGCAGGTGACATAATCTCATATAAAGAAAATCCCAAGGAAGCTGGGTTGCCATGAGTGGCTAGCGGGTGAGAGCTGCCGTGAGCCGCCGTGAGCGGCTAGACCAATGACCAGCGACTGATTGCCTCACCCAGGAAGAGTGCAATGATCATACACACATGGGCCAGTGAAGCGACGTCCTTCACAACTAGACTGATGAACAAAACAACAATTTGTCTACCTGTCTGTTCCCCTTCCCCAATTCTCCAACACTGTTCCCCTCTCCCAATTCCCTAATAAAATCTTTAAAAAAAAAAAAGAAAATCCCAAGGAATTCACACACAAAAAAACTATTAGAGGGCCAGCCAAGTGGCACGTTGGTTAAGAGCTGGCTTGGGATGCCAGCTCTGAGCAGCCGGGCCCCAGTTCGGATCCCACATAAGGGCCAGTGACACTGCCCTCTACAGCTAAGATGGTGAACAACAGCTCGACCTGGAACTGAACTGCTGTGAGTCGCAGGCGACGGCTTAAGCTGCAGCCCCTGCTGCAGTGGGCTGCCATAAGCTACTGTGTATGGCCGGCAGCCGGTGTGAGCTGTCCAGAGGCTAGCAACCGATCTCCCTCACCTGGGAAGAGCGCAATAATACCAACATGGGCCAGTGAAGCGACATCCTCCACAACTAGGCTGAAGAACAAAAGGATAGCAACTTGTCTGTTCCCCTACCCCAATTGCCCAATAAAATCTTTAAAAGAAAAACAAAACACTATTAGAATAACAACAAAAAATAAATTCAGCAAGTTTGTAAGATATTCATATAAAATCAATACAAAAAAAAATCTATTATATTTCTACACACTAACAATGAATAAATTGAAAAGAAAATAATTCAATTTACAATAGCATTAAAAAAAGTAAACTATTTAGGAATAAATTTAACAAAAGAAGTGTAAAATTAAAAAATTAAGGAAGACCTATATAAATGGAAAGACATCCATATTCATGGAACAGAAGATTTAATATTATTAAATTGGTCTATAGATTGAATACAATTTCTATCAAAATCCCAGCTTCCTTTTTTGCAGAAATAAACAAGTTGATCCTAAAATTCATGGAGAAATGCAAGGAACCTAGAATAGCTGAAACAATCTAGAAAAAGAAGAACAAAGTTGGAGGACTCACACTTGTCAATTTAAAAACTTACTACAAAACCTACAGTAATCAAAGCAGTGTGGTGCTGGCATAAGGATAGACATACAGATAAATGAAATAGAGAGTCCAGAAATAAACTCTTATATTTATGGTCAATCAATTTTTGACAATGATGCCAGGATAATTCAATGGGCAAAATAATAGGCTTTTCAACAAATGGTGCTAGGTCATCTGGGCATGTACAAGTAAAAGGATGAAGACTCCTGTCTCACATTACATACAAAAATTTACTCAAAATACATCAAAGACCTAAATGACAGCTAAAATTATTAAGCTCTTAGAAGACAACATAGATATAAATCTTCCTTATTTTGGATTAGTAAATGGTTTCTTAGATATGACACCAAAAGCACAAACAACCAAAGAAAAAACCCCAGATAAATTGGACTTCATCAAAATAAAAAACTTGTGCTTCAAAGGTCATCATCAAGAAAGTGAAAAGAATACCCATAGAATGGGAGAAAATATTTGCAAATCATGTATCTAGTAAGGGATTCATATCTATTGTAGAATATATAAAGAACACAGCGCAATAATAAAAAGACAAGTAAAAACAAAGATATTAAAGGATATTTCTCCAAAAAAATACAAATGACCAAAAATCTGATAAAAGATGTTCAACATCATTAATCATCAGGGAAATGCACATCAAAATCACAATGAAATAACATCTCACACCCACTAGCATGGCTATAATCACAAAGTCAGATAATAAGGGTTGGTGAAGATATGGAGAAACTGAAATTTTTGTACATTGCTAGTGGGAATGTAAAATGGTGCAGCCAGTTTGGAAAACAATCTAGCAATTACCATATAATCAAGTAATTTCCGTCCTGGTATATGCCTAAAGAAATGCAAACATGTCACACAAAAACTTGTACATGAAGTATTTCAGAAGCATTATTCATAACAGAGAAAAAGTAGAAATAACCCAAATGTCCATCACCTGGTGAATGGATAAACAACATATAGTATATCTACAAAATGGAGTTATAATAAAAAAAAAAAAGATGCCTAATACATCACATAACATGGATGGACCTTGAAAACATTATGCGAAGTGAAAAAGCTAGTCACAACAGACCATATAGTGTATCATTTCATCTATATAAAATGCCCAGAATAGGCAAATCTATAGAGACAGAAAGTAGATTACTGGACATCTAGGGCTGGGGGAGGGAAGGATGGAGGAAAATGGGAAATGAATGCTAATATGTACAAGTCTTCTTTTGGGGATGATGAAAATGTTCTATAATTGATTGTAGTTATTTATAGTTGCACAACTCTATGAATATATTAAAAACCACTGAACTGAATGTACTTTAAATGGGTGAATTTTATGGTATGGGAATTGTATCTCAATAAAGCTGTCATAAAAATAATTTATAAATCTATAAATACAAGACAAAAATAAATAAATAAAAATGTTAACAGTAGTTAACTTTGGGTGATGTGCTATCATTTCTTCTCTGAATAAATCAAACTTTCTATACAGCATGTTATTTCTATAATCAAAAAGTTATTAAAATATGTACGTTATTTTAGTTTACAAAGTGCTTTCACATTGACACATTTAATACTGTAATAACTGAGTAAGGTGGGTAACAAAGACATTATTTTATAGATGAGGAAACAGACTTCACAAAAGTTAAGTGGCTGGCCCAATGTGGCAGAGACTGCTAGCTGCCAACTCTAATATCTGTTCTTCTTTTCTTCCACATTAATAAAACTTTTTATTTTTACCTGAGCACATGATCACCTGTAATAAAGTCTCCTCTACAGCTAGATGAAGCTGAGACACATTAGAAAAAGTTCAGAGGAAATAATCTAATTCAACTTCTGCCTCATAGAACTTGGCTAGTCTTATTTCCTGAGTTGTAACAATGAA